AGCGTAGTCACCTCATGGCTGCTGCTGTGTTGCAATATTTTCGGGTTGGGCTTATTTTGAAAGCCCGATTGGGCTTATTATTTAGGGGGGGGGTATTTGGGGAGGGGGAAACAGGACAGGTAACTGCATCAGTGCTGACTGTGTTACTTAGGTCAGGTCAGGAAACATCTACAAGAAGACAGCCAAGCTCCCTTCTAGCACTGATAATATTAGCTAGTTGGTTCATTGAAAGGTCTGCATGGAAGCAACCACGCTCAGAGAGCACCAAGGACTCTCCCACGCCTCCCCTCCCCAAAGCTCTCTCACTCCAAAAAACCCCTCCTACATTTCCCTCTAGACCCAATGCTTGGGAGACAAGGGATCGCAGGATCTACTGGGAATGTTGCACTTCTGGGATCTCCAACAAAGGCGGTGGGGAAAAAATGTTGGCAGTGGGGCAGAGAGTGTCCCCCCACCCCACTTTCTGGTTTGCTCTGGAGTCGTCGCGAGTGTCGGAAAAAGAAAAGTGTGCAGCACAAGTGTAAATGTAGCTGACAGGGGGAGGGGAGGCGGAGAGTCAATCCTGCAATCGTGGTTTACCTGGAAGGAAAGAAAGAAAGTGGGGGTGAGAATTCTGGGTGGGAGAGACGTTGGAGAGAAAGTCCCGATGTATAATGCTGTGGATGGGGGGCTTCCTAGAGTCACCCTTTCCTCTAGATGCCTTGAGACACATCCCCCCCACTTCAGAATGAAGCCCCCCCCCCCCGCTGAGAAGCTAAGTGGGGAGAAACTAAGCCATCAAGGCTTCCTCTACACAAACCTCAACTCAGCTGTATGCTGAATCACGCAGATGGTTCAACTACTTTAGGGATAAGGACTATGGAGGGGGGGAGGGGTTCCAAAAAAATATAAAGAGGGAGGCCACAGTGCTACAACTGGAGCTCCCTCCCCCTTTCTAGTTGTGGCTCCCATCTTGACTGGTTTGACCCGTTGCAGAATCCCCTAGATTGCCTCTCTTCAGTCTTCAAATTGACGGTGTTTGTTTAACAAAAAAACAAATTGCGGTTTGTTGACAAAGCGACGGAGTCCAGAGACATACACGCAACATTTCACGCGTCACACGCATGAAAGGAACCTCCCTCATGCAAAACCTCAAGTGGCCACTCGGGGGCGGAACAGAGATGCCCACTGGCTGCCTCCTAGTGGCTCTCTGGGGTTTTGCAGTCTTCCCCCACTTCCTAGCTGAGCCTGAGATCTGGGTCCTACTGTGAAACTTCCCGATCCAGCTGATACCAACCTAGTGAATTCCGGCTCCCTTCCCCTCCCCCCCCCAATGCGAAACTGGAGGGTCTCTGGGAACTCACAGGTTTCCTCGGCGATAGCTGGCCTCTCCCATCCTCCGGCTCTTTATCATCAGGCCGGTGCCAACCACAATGCCCACAAGGCCTATCGCCAGGCCCACCGCACACACCACGGTCTCGGTCGTCTCCTGGAGGGGCTGTGGGATATTGGCGTCTGTGGGAGGGGGGGGAGAAAAGGACAAGGTGGGGATGCTGCCCTCCGAGTAGCAGGCACTGCAGGAATTCCCTGGGAGTTTTTACAGTGGGGGGTTGGGCTGGCAGTCAGCACAAATCCAATTTCAGTAAGTTGCAGAAGCCATGGGCTGCAAGGGACTTTGGAGGTCATCTAGTCCAACCTTCTGCCCAGAGCAGGAACCATCAAGCTTTCCCAGACAAATGGCTGACCAGCCCTTTCTTGAAACCTTCCAGGGAGGGACCTCCCCCCCCCCATGGCTTCAAGTGGCAGGTGGTTCCCCTGCTTTATTGCTTTCCCCATCAGGAAAGGCCTCCTTTAGCTCAAATTCGGATCCCACCCTGTGGAGTTGCCACCCGTTGCTTCTACCTTACCTGGGGAATGTCTCCTTCCCCACGTCTACCACCCTGAGAGACCCCTGCCTCTGTGGGAAGATGCCACCATGTCTCCCGTCCCCTTCCTCCTTCTCCCCCTCAGACTAAGATCCTCAATAGGATTTGATGCCCAACCCCAGGCCTCTCGCCATCTTTGTCCCTCTTTTCTGCCTCTTTAAGGTGTGGGGAGGGGGATCCCCCCATCTATTCAGCAGCACCACCTGGAACATCTGGGTAGATGTAGGAGAGACGGGCATGAGGAAGGCAATCTTGGGAGTGGAGTCTTCCAAAGGGGACACTGTCCCCTTTTCAAACTGCTTTAAATACATGGGACCCCTGACCCAAAAGGTTGCCCACCTTCTGCCACACCTCTGCCCCCTCGTTCTGCTTACGCCAAATCTTGCCCAGGGGCTTCTGGAGGCCCCAATGTTCCACCTCGCAGCTGTAGATGTCGTCCTCGTTTGGGACGAAGGGCAGGTAGGAGAACCGACGGAAGGCGTGGTCCTTCTTGGGGTAGTAATCCATGGTCTGCACCCCTTCGGTCACCGGCTGGCCGTTCTTCGCCCAGGTCATGTTCAGCACCGGCGGAGAGAAGTTGTCCGCCATGCAGATCAGAATGTTGGGCTCCTCCATCTCCACCGTCCTCTCCGTGTACACCATCAATTTTGGAGGCTCTGCAGGGGGAGAGAGGAGAGGGGCTTCGGTTTGGAGGAGGGGTACCTTGACTTCCTTCAACCCTTGGAAGAAGGCCATCCTTCAACAATGGGAAGGTCCTCAGGAGAAGTCTGAAGTACATCCAGCTGGGATCAGGAGTCCACTGATGGCCCGTTGAGTGGTTAGGGGCAGCGAGAGAAAAGATTGGGGTTTGGACCTGGTCAGTCAATCAATCAGAATAGAGCTGGAAGGGACCCTGGAGGTCTTCTAGTCCAACCCACTGCTCAAACAGGAGACCCTAGACCACATCAGGTCACAAGGTTCCCACATGGCGTCAAGATTAATATTTGTTTGCTTTTATGCTGCCCTCCTTCCCTTCAAGATAATTCTGGCTGCTTACGATGTTCAAGAGGAGGAAGGGTGCCTGAGGAAATGCCTCACAAGCTGAGTTGTGGTTTTGTTCGAAAGTATCTCCTTCTCCTTCCCCCTCCCATCCCCCCACCTTGTGAAGAATAATCTGGGCAGGCAGGAAGACTCAGGAGGGGGAAGGGCAGAAACGAACCACTCAGCCAAGCCTTAATTAAGGTCATAGACCAGCATAGAAAGGGTGGAATGCAAACAGCAATTGTAGGAGTGGGGGAGGGAAAGGCAGAGATAGAAGGAAGGGGAGGAAGAGAGGAGACTGAGAGGAGAGAGTGAGTGAGAGAAAAGAGAGAGAAGAGAGAGTAAAAGAGGAAGGACAGAGACATAGAAGAGAGACAAGAGGAGAGAGAGAAAATAGAGAGGGGGAGAGAGAAGAGAAAGGGAGAGAAGTGAGAGACAGGAGAGAGAAGAGAGAGGAAAGAAAGAAGAGAACAAGAGGGAAGAGAGATAAGAGAGAGAAGGGGGGAAAGAGAGACCGAGAGAGACTGAGGGAGGAGAGAAAAGGGGGGAGAGGGGGAGAAGAGAGAAGAGAGAGAGATGGGGAGAGAGAGACAGGGGAGAGAAAGAAAGAGAAGAGAGAAGAGAACAAGAGGGAAGAGAGAGAAGAGAGAGAGGAGAGAGAAAGAGAAGAGAAAGAGAAAGAAGAGAGAGAGAGGAAAGAGAAGAGAACAAGAGGGAAGAGAGAGAAGAGAGAGAGGAGAGAGAAAGAGAGAGACTGAGAGAAGAGAGAGAAGAGAAAAAGGGGGGAGAGGGAGAGAAGAGAGAAAAGAGAGAGAAGAGAGGGAGGAAAGAGAAGAGAACAAGAGGAAAGAGAGAGAGAGAGAAGAGAAAAAGAGAGAGAAGAAAGAGAGAGAAGAGTTACAGGGATGGCAAAACAAAAAGCTGAATTCCCCTCCCCCCATCGCTTGAGTTCATGGGGAAGCATCTTCCAGGGATCCATCTGGTGTAACCCTCCCCCACCTCCCCAAATGTCCTCTGGATTTCAAGTGGGCCCATCCAGGGGTAGCAGCAAGAGAGGGGGGGTGTCAAAAGACCTCGACTCCTCTTGTGAAGGAGGGGCAAGGCAGCTCCAGGGTCCTGTCTGCCATCTTGACTTTTTTGACTCCCCTCCCCATGATGCCAGGGCTCCGGTGGGGGTGAGGAGGAAGGAAGAGAAGGAAAGCCCCCCCCCCCGCTCTCTCCCGTCCCTCTCACGGTTAGTGGCAGGCGTGTAGTTGGATCTCTTCATCAGGATCTCCAAATTGGACTGCAGGACAGCGATGTTCCCTTGGGCGCCCTCGGCCTGGAAGCTGGTGAAGCGGCCGAACTCGGGCAACCGCCAGATGGTCTGCCTCTCCTCCAGATCTACGTGGAAAATCTCATCGTCGTTGAACTCGAACATGAACTCGGAGCTGCTGCTGGTGTTCCGGCGGGTTTTCTGGACGAAGGCCACCTGGGACAAGATCTCCTCGCCAGGGATAGAGGGGATGTCCTGGGCTGAAAGAGGGAGGGAGGGCGCAGTCAGTCTTTTAAAACTTTTTTTAAAAAGCCACAGCCCCCCACCTCTGAAAAAAAAACACCAAAGGGGGGGTAGGAGGGAGAAGAGGTTGTGGGGTAGACGCTAGAAAGGGTCTCAAAAACAGCTTCTATCCCAGAGCAGTAACTCTACTGGATAGCACAGAGGTCTTCAAACTTGGCAACTTCAAGACTTGTGGACTTCAACTCCCAGAATTCTCCAGCCAGCTCTGCTCTGGGAGTTGAAGTCCACAAGTTGCCAAGTTTGGGGACCCCTGTTATCAGTGCAATATTAATGCAGGTATCGGGGTGGTGGTGGTGGTGTTTCAATTGAATTGTATAGAATGCGGAGGATGTGCGTTTGGGTGCTTTATTTTTATAGTTTTCTTATGTATAATGTATTTATTTACTTATTTGCTTATTCACTTATTCACTTCCTTATTTAATTGTTTATTGGAATTTGTCAAACAAAACTGAGAACAAGAGTCGCCATGGGCAAATAGGCAGCCATCTAAACTCAATAAAATAAAATAAGATAAAAAAAATAAAAATAAGATAAGATAAGATAAAATAAGATAAGATAAGATAAAATAAAATAATAAAATAAAATAATAAAATAAAATAATAAAATAAAATAAAATAAAATAAAATAAAATAAAAAAAAATAAAAAAATAAAATAAAATAAAATAATAAAATAAAATAAAATAAAATAAAATAATAAAATAATAATAAAATAAAATAATAAAAACTAATACAATAAAATAAAATAATGAAATAAAATGAAATAATAAAATAAAATGAAATAATAAAATAAAATAAAATAAAATAAAATAAGCAAGCAAATAAGTAAATAAGTAAAGCTAATAAAAACACAAGGACAGGGAGGATAGTCACATTAGTGCGCTTATGCACCCCCCTCTACTGGCCCCTTAAGTCCGAAGTATGTACTCTGAAGATGACATTTTAATTTCGTCGGAAGAGGTGCAATAATAATAAAGCATATATCAATATTAATATTAAAGAGGGCAGAGAAGAGCAACCAGGATGACGAGGGGACTGGAGGCTAAAACATACGATGAACGGTTGCAGGAACTGGGCCTGGCTGGCCTAGGGAAGAGAAGGACCAGGGGAGACAGGACAGCAGTGTTTGCGTATTTGAGGGGCTGCCACAGAGAGGAGGAAGGGGGTCAAGCTATTTTCCAAAGCCCCCGAAGTCCACAGAAGGAATCATGGATGGAAACTGAGCAAGCAGAGATTCAACCCGGAAACAAGGAGAAATTTCCTGGCCGTGAGAACAATCCACCCACGGGACAGAAGTTGCCGCCAGAAGTTGTGGGAGCTTCGGCACTTGAAGCTTTCAGGAAGAGACGGGAAAAAGTGGTGTAGGTTCTCCTGCTTGGGCGGGGAGGAGTGGACTAGATGGCCAACGAGGTCCCTTCCAACTCTGTTAATCTTTAATCTGTCCGTTGTCTATACATGTTCGAGCGAGAGAGGGAGCGGGCGGGGCAAAGGCGGCGCCACCCCCGGAGGACTTAGGGGCCGAATGGTGGTCCCAACTTGCGGAGTGGGGGGCTTCTCCCTTGTCTGCTCCCTTCCTCAAACACCCCCCACCCGAATTACCTCCCCAAGGAGGGAGGGTCTCTCTTTGCGCCAAGATTAGATCCCCGGTGGATCTTTCTCGCCTGGGGAGGATCAGGCTGATTGTTTTTCCCCAGCCCGCGGGGCGGTGGCCGCGTTCCTACGAAACTGCCGAACTGGGCAGAACTTTTTCCGGGTCCGCGGAATGGCCTGGAGTCGCGGCGCGCGCTGCCCGAGGGCTGGATTCGCCCGTCGCAAGCGGCTGGGCCGCCGACGGTCAGAAAGGGTGTCGCGGGGGGGTGCCTTTTCCTTGGGTGGGGTGGGGTGGACTAGATGACCTACAAGGTCCCGTCCGACTCTGTTGATCCGACCACACCCGAGTTGCCGCGGCCAGCGAGTTGCTTGCACAGGAAGCCACGGAAAGCCCCCCCCCCTTTCTTAGAATAGCCGGTCCTGAGAATACCACCCCACCGCCCACCCACCTCGCTAACTTTCCCACGGATCGGGTGGGCAGAGAGAATCGGTTCGCTTCCCGCTCCCGACTTTGCTCACTCGGAAAATGAAGGGGGTTGGGTGGAAAGTTCGAAGGGGGTGGGTGGGTCTGAGATTCACCCCCTCTTCTTCCGGACGGGGGGGGGTACAGCCTCGGCTTCTTTACCCTCCCTCCCTTTCAGCCACCCCTCTTCCCCCTCCCTCGCTCCGAGGGACCCCCGGAGAGGCGCCCCCTACCTCTCCCGAGCTCAGCCAGGGCCAGGAACAGCAGAAGCAGCCGCGCCAGCCCCAAGGGACCCCCCGCTTCGTTGCCTTGGCCAGCCATGGAGACTTCGGTCACAGCAGCGGGACGGCGAGAGGGAAAGTGGAAGCGACGCGTCGCGCGGGGCAATTTAGCTCCGCCGTCGGCTTGGCAGGGCGGCCGCGGCCGCTCGGCGGCCCAATCAGAAAAATCGGGCGCCGGTGACGCCACTGTCGCCGGGTAAAGGAACTCCAGCAGGTGGACGATATGGGAGATAGAAGCCTCAGTCAATCAGCCAATCAGAATAGAGCTGGAAAGTACCGCAGTGGTCTCCAACCTTGGCAACTTTAAGACTCTGGGAGTTGAAGTCCACAGGTCTTAAAGTTGCCAAGGTTGGAGACCACTAGCCCAACCCACTGCTCAAGCCGGAGACCCTATATACCATTCCAGACAGGGGGCTGTCCAGAACTTTTTTTTTAAACCCTCCAGTGGTGGAGCACCCGCAACCTCTAGTGGCAAGCTGTTCCACTGGTTAATTGTTCTCAATGCCAGGAAAATTCCAGGATCCTTTCAAATCCATTCAGATCCCCCCGAGGCTCGGCGAGGGATTCAGCAGCTGCTCTTGCAGGGGGGGGGGGGCGACAGGTTTAGCCCCGCCTTGACCATGAAAGCCGGCTGGGTGAACCAGTCCTTCCCTCACAGCCCGCCCTACCCCACAGGGTTGTCGTTGTCGGGGTGAAGTTTACTAGCCAGAGGGTTTAGGTTATGTTCACTGGCTTTGCGTTGTAAGAGTCACTTTTTAACCGGGCGGCAAATACGGCTGAGGATTAAGTATAAAAAGACAGGGGATTAATTATTTTTTTGCAAAAAAAAAGGATGAAAAAAGTGGACCACTTAGTGAGGCGCTGGAAGAAGATCGCAATGTAGCCTGACAATGTAACCGAGTTACATTGACAAAGTGGCAACAATGGAAGAATCTGCCAGAAATAGAGTAGAGTAGAGTAGAGTAGAGTAGAGTAGAGTAGAGTAGAGTAGAGTAGAGTAGAGTAGAG